CAGGTAACATTATAATAGCAAATTGTATACTAAAATAGTTATTTTACCTCATTTAGCATCAACGTTTAAACCTTAAAGCCTTAAACATTTAGCTTTAATTGACTGCAGCATATTTTCTTTAGTATAATGTACCACTGATTTATGGATGCTTAAAAATCTGAATCAGAATACCTTTATCAGTCACACAGAGGGAAAATGTACATTGTTACAGCAGAAAAGAGCCAAAGACAGCTTAATGTTACCAAAGAAGCATGCATAAAAAGTATTAAAGATAACAAAAATTATAATAAAAAAAAGTTACACAATTTACAAAATACACATCCTGTAACAGTTATGAGTATTTAGCAGCCATTTATATATTGCACAGTTATTAACGGCATATATATTTTGCAAATATTGCAAATATTACACATAGTTGGTTGGTATTTAACAACAAGCTTTACTCCAAAGGATTTTATGCAGTGCATTCAAATAACACATTTTACCAGATTTGAATGATAAACCCACGGATGTGGGTTTGCCATGCATTTTCCAAAATTAGTGAAGAATAGCTTCTCTACCCACTGTTGATCTCACATACATCAAGTCACATATAATAATATATAATACATATAATACATATAATAATAGTATGTATTTATTGCAGTGATTACTTTCGATGTCGGGATTTTTGGTGATTAAGACCAAAGTGATGCTTTAGCAACACATTATCTGCATAGGAGGCAATATTACATTATTATCATATCAAGTTTGTAAGTTAGATCTTCCAATCATATAATAATAAAAGAGGGATTAGCATTCCTCAAATAGACAGCGCATTTAAAACAACTCATTATCCCCTTTGTTTGGAATGAGCTTGTTTCCCTCTCATTCTCCATTGCCGACTAAATCCTTCTCTGTCAATACATTTGATAGGGATCTTAGTCTGAAATCCTCTCTGATGCTGATTTGCGGCTTTTGAAACAACTCATTACGATATAATCAAACATGTGATTATCCCCCACGCCTCAAAGCTTTTTGTTTACAAGCCCATGTTATCTGCAACTACTCTGGGTACTGGGGTACTATTGTGATTATTGAAGTGCTACTGACTTTTTATATTTGATGACTTTCTCAATATGAAGAGATGTATTTCTAATATTGTGCAACCATTCACTCTCAATTGGTCTGTTCCAGTCCTATCTACAGTAGATAGCTCCATAAAGCCACAAAGCCCCCAATTGAGCTTCTGCTTCCCCCAACCGCTTCATTTAAAGTGAAAAGTACATGCAGTCTCACATTTCATCGTCATTAATTATATATCCTCTCTGATAGCCTTTAATCAAGCAAAAATCTGAAATAGATCTTTACTTTCACCATAAAAGCTCCGTTCCTGTGGTGTGTCTCCACAGAACCCATAGCAAGATGAAACATCTCTGTTTGTCTGCTATGATCAGCACAATCGTAATGAGTCTCAGGAGATATTTGTCAAAAACACACTAAGATTCAGACTTCTTACTGTACCAATAGAGAGGCGAGTGTGTATTTGTGTGATGTGTGTGTGGTTTTAGTCGCGTATTCCTGCAGTTCTTGTTTTATACCCTCCCAATTTATGTTACTTATTCTATGGTCTTATGGCTCTGCGCCTGCACTTAGCATTAAGAAGGAAAATCTGGAAAAAAGGAATACATCCACCACTTTACATTAATGCGCACTCACCATGCAAGCTCTTTTTAGTTTTATCTTTTTCAAACACACACACACACACACACACACACACACACACACACACACACACACACACACACACACACACACACACACACACACACACACACGCCTTCTCTGCTCTCATAGTGCAGCCGTTTGTGAAATTAAGTCCATTCCCCCTGCAACTCGGCTCCCATCAAAGTCAGACCCCACCATAACGACTACTACTACTACATACATACACACACACACTGGTAGGCATGTAAAAAATGTCAGCCTTAGCAGTATATCACTTTCTTCCTGTCTTTATCTTCCCATCATTCTTTTCCTCTTTATTTTCACTGCTGAAACCCTCTAAATCAGCCCTCTACCCCAACAGACACCAGCAGCTCTGCTGTCAGATAAAAGATTTGCCTCAGAGCATGTGAAGGGAAGGTAGGGAAAAGCTGACGAAAAAGAAATGAAAGATATTTTGAAGTGTACCCAAGCTGCAACTTCACGGGAAGGCAGGAGTTTATTATGAATCCATCAGTCCTCAACCTCCTTGGTAGACCTGAAGTTCTGAACCACGGTGGTTTGACAGTTTTTACTCCTAGAGGGAGATGGAGAGCTGCAGATCTGCATGTAGTGTTATTTGGGTTGTAACTGCGGGTTCATTGTTGTTGTACATTTTAAGAAAACTTGGAGAGGGCATGAGATCTGCTGCCAGGAGCCTCCTCAGGTCAGAATGTGCCCTCTTGATGCACAGGCACGGGTGGTGTGTAACATATAGATATTTACACACACACAGTTACGGAAATCTGAGTCTGAACACTCAGTGGAAATAACTGGAGGTGTCCCTGTTCTTCTGTTTCCTTATTTTGCAAACATCCAATCCTGGTATAATTCGGCCACACTTAACTTACATCAATTATAACCTTTTAGTTATTTTTCTAACCAGGTTCTGCTTCATCAGATGATTGCAGTGTGCTGTCTTTCCTGCAAAGCATTAAACAAACCCCCTTACGTGTTTGATCAGATGTAAAGACAGCTGTGACTTACTGGGATGCATATCGTTTTCTAAAAATGTTAAACAGAAAACATGCTTGTCAACATTTTAGTGGAGCAATAATGAGAGACACATCATTGAGACACTTGAGCTAGAAACTATTTGACAATATTGCACATATTTATATCATCTCTGTCATGGTGTCAAACATACTAACACATGCAGTCTGCCAGCCACGCTGCTGCGCCGCAGATGGAGGAGGATCAATTATCTTCTACCTCGGATAGGTGGAAAAGTTCAAGCCTCCATTGCTGTTCGTTGTTTTATTTGTGGGTTTGTCTCCCTGCTGCCGTAGAGACGGACGTGTTGATACCATGGCAACTGGATCTTTAGGAGGGAGGGAACAGGAGGAGACACGCAGATCGGCTGATTTGTTTAGTTTGAAACTGGGATGGAAGGGATCGCCTGACCTGTTCCCTAATTGGAAATAGATTAAATGTTACATAGACAAGTCTGCAATGTAATGTTCCCTAAGGAGAACAAAAAACGTTAACGTTTATAACTCTGATTTTAGGAATATGTACTCATTTACTGTCCATGAGTAAGATAAGAAGATCAATATTAATTTCATTTTCAAAACATAAGTAAATGCAATGGATAGGGAGGCTGTGGCTCAGTGCGTTAGTACGCCTGATCTATTTCACTACTAGAACATGACTGAAGGTATAACGTTAAAAAACAAAATCAAAAGAAAAGACAAAGACTTTAGAGAGAAACAGTTGACATTTAGATAACATTACTATTTATGCCTTCTGTTGTTTATATCTTAGCCAATTTTACCCAGCCTTTAACAAAATACGTTTTCATGTAGAGAATGTTATGATCTTGAAACCAGCACAAAGAAACGGGGGATAGTTTACTGCATCACTAAATAAGGCCACTTGCAACTCTAAAATAATGTTCTGATTTTAATAAATTGGGTTCTTGTCGAATGTTATTCCCAAATAGCATGAAGGCCTTTGGTATCGAGCCTCTGATGTGAGACACTTCTGTAAATCCAGGCTTAAATAATAGATATTGGAGAAGGCTGCTCCGCTCTGAATTCTCAGCTTTGGTCTACAGGTGGCAGTGTGGCTCCGTGTCTCGGCACCTCTGACTGAATTTGACTTTGTCTGCTACTTTCTTGTGTTTATTCTCTCTCTCGCTCTCTCTCTCTCTCTCTCTCTCTCTCTCTCTCTCACTCCGTCTTATGCTCCTGCTCATTCTTTTTATGTCTCCCCTTAAGTGTTGTTGCTTCTCATTATCTCTCCATCTTTGTTCTTTCTTTTTTTCTCCTTCCCTTCCTCCCTTTGTTCGAACATCCATGTGGTTGTTGAGGCTTGAGTAAGGAGGGAGAAATGGGGTCTTTTTTCCCCACCCAGGGTTCATTGCAAGAGATCTCTGGAGGCTTAAGCAACCCAGAGGAAATAATTGCAGTAATAAAGCCCGTTATGGTAATAACTTCACAAATGAACGGATCAGATTAGAGCTTTGCTGTCTCCCTCCCACTCTGTTTTACAAATAAATGAGCTTTCTGCATGTAGCATCCGATATTTGATGTCATGGTACATCTTTTACAGTTCTTGCTGCACGTTTTAACAAAGACTGTGATCTCTTGTTAGTACTTTGCCTGTGGAGCAACTCAGAACTAGTGCCACAGGGCTGCTGTATGTGTACACTAATAAAACAGAAGCAGAGTAAGACATTTTTTAAACATGATAATAAAGTCTTAATGGCTAATTTACACAGTTTTTAAACGAAGCAGAAACAACAAAAGATCAAAGCAACATAATATCTAACTATATCTACCATCCACTGATAATATTGTGTGGTTTTCATGATCTATGTATGTTTAAAAGAGAAGATAAAGGAAGCTGGTGAGGTTTACGTCATGGGTGATTTCATTTCTTAGAGTGAGAGCTGAGGGCAGTGAAATAACCCAGCACTCCCAAAACAGTAATCCCTCCTGGTCCTGCCCTTCATCGGCCATTTCATCTTTTTCTTCACTCTGTCCTTTCCCCCTTGAAATTATAACTTTACAAATAAATGATCTTCACAATGCTGTTATCTAAGGTAGCATTTTGTGATTGTTACTTACCAAAGCAACTGTACGTACAGTTAGCTGCAGCTAGGTAGCCAAACACACTCTTAGTTTGAACACATATTTATGAAAAGACCATTAATATTGCTTTGTGTGGCTTTTACTTTATTCAGTACCATCAGAGGATAGAAGAAAAGTAATGGTTGTATGACATCATAATTGTTTTGTAGTTTCCTTTGGGAAATGGGATCCAGCATCTCAAAGAAATTGGGTACAAAAACAACTTTTTGATGACAAAATGGTGTCCCTCTGGTAAAAACACGGCTTTTCTTAATAATATACCAATATTACGCTAAACTAATGACATTTGTATCCTTCTCTCTGCAGGTATGCCGTCCCCCCTGAGCACGGCAAGCGGCTGGAGAGGTTGGCACAAGGTGAGACCCTTATGATGCTTTCAAATGATGATTTCCATTTCTTTTGTTTTTTATTTGATTCTTCTCACAGCCTGCGTTTGCTTTGTAAGTGAAGCGCTTCAGACCAAACACATTCTTCAAACTAACATGCACAGTACACATGCCAGCACACACCCAAAGCACACTCCCTCACAGGAGAATAGAAGTAGTACTTCTCAACAGCCTCACTCCTTTTCAAGCAGAACATTCATAACACTTTTAAGAACCCTTTACCACTCTCAATAAACAACCTTTTGGCAGTTTCTTGTCTTGCTGACACGCCTGTCCTCGCAGTGAACACTGTGCTACACGCTGTGGGCCACACATAGGATTTTCATTTGCATGTATGAAGGGGGTGAGACACTCTGATGTCTCACTTTCTCCCCACATACACAGACATTGATTTCCTTGTCACCTGGCTGTGCTAAAATGGAGCCTGAGAAGGATGAGCAGCTTGAAGCACTTAGTGGGTGCAGTCACTTGTACTAAAAATGTCAGGAGAGGCTGAGGATGCTGAATGTGAAGGAGAGGCTGGTGGAACTGAAGCCAGCAGCATCGAATGTTTAATCTGCAAAATGAGTTGGAGGAAACTTACGAATCCCTCACAAAGTGCACTCAGTTGGGAGGGTGCATGGATGGATTATTGTTCATGTCATCGGCTTTTGCTACTGCTATATTTTCTTCCTATGTTAACAAAACATCAAACGTTTTGCCGGATGTTCTTTGGTTCTGAATCCTGAGAATCTTGTGTGACGCAGATAAATAACGCTTAAAAAGAAATAATCTCCAACCCCCTGCACCTCTCTCCTGGACGTAAGAGTTCTCCTTGCGCCGCTCCCTTTTATTCCCACCACTCATGTTCTCCTCTCCTCCTCCTCCTCCTATCCCCTGCTTTGATCAATGAGGATTAACTTGTGTAAGGCAAGTTGCTCAGAGTGAGGTATAAGATGTGAGGATGATGATGGAGAGTCACCCCCATCCAAACTACATTTAATAGACCAACCTTTTGTCCTCGTTGTGAAGAGCTGAAAAAGAAAATCAATAATCACCAATGCATAGCTCCTGTCAATCACAATCCTTCTTCTTTACTGGAGTGTCTGGAAATGTGCACAATATGTGACTTTTGATGGACAAGCAATATCTGAAAAGGAATAAAAAGTGTACAGGTAATATTAAAGGTAATATTAAATACATAATTTACAGTGTTATATACATGTATGTATGTATGTATGTATGTATGTATGTATGTATGTATATATATATATACATACAGTGGGGCAAAAAGTATTTAGTCAGCCACCAATTGTGTAAGTTCTCCTACTTAAAAAGATGAGAGAGGCCTGTAATTTTCATCCTAGGTACAGTTCAACTATGAGAGACAAAATGGGGGGAAAGAATCCAGGAAATTACGTTGTAGGATTTTTAATGAATTAATTGGTAAATTCCTCTGTAAAATAAGTATTTGGTCACCTACAAACAAACAAGATTTCAAATCTTGTTTGTTTGTAGGTGACCAAATACTTATTTTACAGAGGAATTTACCAATTAATTCATTAAAAATCCTACAACGTAATTTCCTGGATTCTTTCNACCTTGTGGAACCCCGACAGGGTTCACAAGATAGGGGGATTTGGCTCCGTTGACCAAAACACACTGTTTTCTGTTGGATAAGTAAGACTTAACCCACTGTATTGAATCTGCTGAAAAATTGAAATACGTCAGCTTTGTAAGGAGCACTTGGTGGCCAACAGTGTCAAAAGCCTTACTGAGATCAAGGAAGACAGCCCCACCTTGCAATGACAGGTTAAGTCCGTTCAGTCTGTCAAATACAGTGGGGCAAAAAAGTATTTAGTCAGCCACCAATTGTGTAAGTTCTCCCACTTAAAAAGATGAGAGAGGCCTGTCATTTTCATCCTAGGTATACCTCAACTATGAGAGACAAAAGGAGAAAAAAAAAATCCAGAAAATCACATTGTCTGATTTTTAAAGAATTGATTTGCAAATGATGGTGGAAAATAAGTATTTGGTCAATAACAAAATTTCATCTCAAAAGTTATATACTTTGTTATATACCCTTTGTTGGCAATGACAGAGGTCAAACGTTTTCTGTAAGTCTTCACAAGGTTTTCACACACTGTTGCTGGTATTTTGGCCCATTCCTCCATGCAGATCTCCTCTAGAGCAGTGATGTTTTGGGGCTGTCGCTGGACAACACGGACTTTCAACTCCCTCCAAATATTTTCTATGGGGTTGAGATCTGGAGACTGGCTAGGCCACTCCAGGACCTTGAAATGCTTCTTACGAAGCCACTCCTTCGTTGCCCGGGCGGTGTGTTTGGGAGCATTGTCATGCTGAAAGACCCAGCCACGTTTCATCTTCAATGCCCTTGCTGATGGAAGGAGGTTGTCACTCAAAATCTCACGATACATGGCCCCATTCATTCTTTCCTTTACACGGATCAGTCGTCCTGGTCCCTTTGCAGAAAAACAGCCCCAAAGCATGATGTTTCCACCCCCATGTTTCACAGTAGGTATGGTGTTCTTTGGATGCAACTCAGCATTCTTTCTCCTACAAACACGTCTAGTTGAGTTTTTACCAAAAAGTTCTATTTTGGTTTCATCTGACCATATGAATCCCAATCCTCTTCTGGATCATCTAAATGCTGTCTAGCAAACTTCAGACGGGCCTGGTCATGTACTGGCTTAAGCAGGGGGACACGTCTGGCACTGCAGGATTTGAGTCCCTGGCGGCGTAGTGTGTTACTGATGGTAGCCTTTGTTACTTTGGTCCCAGCTCTCTGCAGGTCATTGACTAGGTCCCCCCGTGTGGTTCTGGGATTTTTGCTCACCGTTCTTGTGATCATTTTGACCCCACGGGGTGAGATCTTGCGTGGAGCCCCAGATCGAGGGAGATTATCAGTGGTCTTGTATGTCTTCCATTTTCTAATAATTGCTCCCATAGTTGATTTCTTCACACCAAGCTGCTTACCTATTGCAGATTCAGTCTTCCCAGCCTGGTGCAGGTCTACAATTTTGTTTCTGGGGTCCTTTGACAGCTCTTTGGTCTTGGCCATAGTGGAGTTTGGAGTGTGACTGTTTGAGGTTGTGGACAGGCGTCTTTTATACTGATAACGAGTTCAAACAGGTGCCATTAATACAGTTAACAAGTGGAGGACAGAGGAGGCTCTTAAAGAAGAAGTTACAGGTCTGTGAGA